TTCATGGTAAATACATATTTGTAGTTAATATTTTATTTCGCAGGAGACAGAGGCCAAGAGATTGCTGCTCAGGAAATAAACTGGGACGATAAAAAGTTATGAACTGTGTTCTTGCAGTGAAATATTTATGTTCTGTTTATCTGTAAAGGGTCATTGTTTCTTACTGTAGATGAAATAGTTACATCTGTGCTCATAGCTGGTTTTGACTGTAAGCACATGCATTCCCAGCAGAATGGCAATTATGAAACAAAAGTGATTCAGTTGTACAAGGAATGATCTGCAGCAACTAGGTCAGGCAGCAGCTTCCACAAGCCACGTTACCATTGGTTGCCATGAAAATAGCATTGGAAATAGTATGGCACTCAGAAGAGTTGAGGCTGAGATGGCCAAGGTAAGCAGTGCACTGCACAAGCCTCTCTAATGTTTGGGTTTTTTCAGTACATTGAAAAGCGTAAATTCCACATTTTGCTCCTACATTTTTCTAACTTTTCCTTTAAAATAAAAAATGTTCTTTGTTTTGGTTTGGTTTTTTTTAGTCCCTTCGGGAGTGATACAAAATGGAGCTCGAGTACTGAGTAGAGGAATATTTCCTGGAGCCAGGCCATTGCCAATCAACCCTATAGGAAGCATGGCTGTCGCAGTAAGGTAAGAGTGGCTCATTGTGGGTCTGCACGAAATCAGTCAGTATTTTGCAGAAAATGTGAAAATGTGTAAGCTCTGGTCCACAGATACTTTGCTGCTTGCTAATTCTTCTGAGGTTCTAAATGAAATAAAACTTTGCTGCCTAAATTTCTTGGGTTATCATTCTTTGCCCAATAGTCATGGCATTATCTGTCTGTTGCACACTGGTTTGTAAAAAGCAGGTTTATTTCCACTAGCAAATTGCAGGCAGTTTATGGTGAGAACCTCCTACAGTGGCCTGTTTTACTAAGTGCAAATGCCTTTTCCTGCTCCTCCCTTCCCTCCCTTTTCCTAAAGACCTTTTCATGGATTAGATACCAGTGAGAAGAATATCAGTAATATTAAAGCAAATCCTGAAAGATATCTGAACATATAGCTGTCGTTTTGTTATTAACTTAGGTCTTTGTGATGCAGTTTCTGTCACTGCAGTTTCTATTTCAAGGTTATACCGAAACATTCAAGGGTAAAATGTTGTTTAAGATACTCAACTGTCTCGGAAAGCAGGGCAGTAAGAGACATCTAGTGATGGCAATAAGAACTGTGGTTCAGTGGTTTGCTTTGCTTAAAGCAGTGCTGGTTTATTGGGGGAAGAACAGTTTGCCTCGGGTGTAGCTCCATTTTCAGTCAGTCACAACAGAGATTAATTTGGTCAAGTGTACTGCCAGTGCCCTTCTCTTTCAGAACTCTCAGTATCTGCAAAAGCTGTTTCAGCTCAGGCGGTTGGGTTTTCTGGGTGGGCTTTCATAATTAGTGCTCACCCCACTTTGCTGGGCTGTTCCAATTACACCCTCTTTTCTCAGGAAACGGCTGCAAGGCAATGAAATAAAACATCTTACTCTATTATTACTTACTTGGGATTTTTTCCCCATTTACTCTTTATTTTTTTGTCCCTTTTCAGGATCAGTGTCTAGCCCTTTGGGTACAGTATTCCCATCCAGTACATGGAGAGAGAGACAGAGAGAACCTGTGATATTCATGTACTCTTCATGCTTAAAATGCATGGAGGGGAAGACACTAATTGGAATAAAATCCATATTTGTTGATGGGCAACTTTTTCAACTGTTTTTCACATTTGCAACACTGGAGGGATGCAGCCCCAAGGGTCATCCTCCAGAAGTCTGCAGTCTCTTTGCATCTCACAGAGATCAGCTGTCTTCATCAGCTTTGCCACTGGCTTTACGCAGGACTTGTATTCTGCTCCAGTGGGGATTGCAGAGCAGTGGGACTACTGGATCATTAATTATATATAATTTTTATGAGGTGTCCAAGCTAAATGGAGGACATAGTGGTCTGAACATTCCCTCTAGAGTTTATCTGCATTTCCTGCTTAGACCCTGTTTCATAATCAGGGCTGACTCAAGGAGATCAAACTGTTTTACTTCCAGGCCACTTAAAAACTTCCTTTTCTGTAGGCGTCCTCAAATTTCTATGCTGTAAAGCTGTATATAGTTAAGTTTTATGCATTTTCAGAGGACTATTTCTCATGTTTTTTTCCCAGCAGGTAGAGAACAGGATCTTTAGCAGCTACTTGCTAATGTAGAGTTGGGAAATTAGGGATTTTACCCCTCCCTTGCTTACGTTCTTTGTGCTCTGTCTCACAGAAAAGCATTTATAATTAGTTAATGCAGACATTTCTAATTCTTTTTGTTCTCTTCTCCAGCCTTAGGCAGTATTAGAAATAGCTTGCTATGAATATATTCCTGGTGTGCATGATGTCTGCTCATATTTAAAGGCTCCTCTTTTAATTCTTGAAAGGTGGGGGGAGGCACAGACTTGAGGCTTTGAAAGCTTTTGAGAAGTTAGGGGACTCTGCAACAGAACGAGGTCAGCAGGCCGTTTTGTCTTGTTTCCCTCAGGGATAATAAGATTCAGAATTTCTTTAGGAAGATCAGACTGGATTCATGATGCCTCCTGGAACATCATCTAGTCCTCTCAAAACTGGATACTTCTGTTATCAGTTGCTATAAAAATGACACCATTTCTTGGTGCCTACCCTCTCCTCAGATACACAGAGCTAAATAGGACTTGTCGTGTTGAGCTTTCATGGTGCCTCATGAGAATAACTTCTACTTATCATGTGCAGCAGGGGGAATTTACCACAGCATCCATGCAGCCTTCTTTTGCAGTTAGAGTAGGAGTACTGCTCAGCTTGAGCTGTCATTCCTGCATAGAGGGCAGTGCTCCAGTCAGACTGGCAGGAGATGTTTTCAGACCTGTTTAGGTGCAGGAAGGTTGATTTCCCCTTCTAGCTTTCACCAGGAGGGAGGTCTGGACAGCTATGGAAGGTGATGCAGTCTCCTGTTACAGTTTTCTGCAGAAATTGCCTGCCTCTGCCTAGATACTGAGAACCCAGACAGCTTCTTTCCAGGAAGTTTTTACTCAAATGTGTATTTTCTTGAGAAGAGTTCCTTTGCTGCTGTAAAAGAAAGGCCTAAAGGCACCTGAAGAAGGTAGTTTTCATCACTCATATAGGGGACCTCTGGCATTTTCTTGGTAGGGGATCATTGCATAATAAACCTCTTAACTATTTTTCTTTACTTACCGTATGTAGGAGTTACAGGTTTTTCTGCAAGGTGCTGGTCTCCTGTTGGCACTTCCTTGCTGTCTGAGCTGTTTATATCATTTTGTGTTTATATCCTCAGTATCTTAATGGTCATTGGTTTTGTTGTCCCCCAAACTGGTGCTAATAACTTGCAGTATGTTGTCCAGTTGTGCAGAGTGCCATTAGTGTCAAAACAGAGTAACAAAATGTTTGGTCTTGGATTAAATTCACAGTTGTAATTAGATGGAGTGTTTAGGCTCATCTGTTACTCCGAAAGGTGGCCAAAACCATAGCA